AGCATTACAGGTTACATACTGTTAGCAGTAGCGCTAGCATACATGTTACATACTTTAGCAGTAATGCTAACATACAGGTTACATACTGTAGCAGTAACGCTAGCATACAGGTTACATACTGTAGCAGTAATGCTAGCATACAAGTTACATACTGTAGCATAACGCTAGCATACAGGCTACATACTGTAGCAGTAACGCTAGCATACAGGTTACAATCTATAGCAGTAACGCTAGCATACAGGTTACAATCTATAGCAGTAATGCTAGCATACAGGTTAGATACTTTAGCAGTAACAAGCACGAGGCGACACAGTTGTTGCGGCATCCTCTGATAACATAGTTACAGAGAACATTAGTTTTGTGACATTCACAAGTGCACTGTAAAATATTGAAAAGAGCTTTGTTGAATTGTCAATAATTCAGTTCACTTTAATGGAATTCTGTTTTGCCATTTACAATGAACCGAGTGTGTAAATCACAGGCTATTATTCATGCTCATTGAATCGAACAAAAGTCTCAGCTATCTCTAGTACTGCAGACTAAGACTATTTACGATAAATTACCAGTAATGCCAAAATACCACATCTTTGATTTTATTAATTGTCAAATATTTTAATTCTACAATAAAAAACGCAGATATCACGAGGGACTGTGACTTCAGTGAAATGTAACAGAAGATGAAATCATCCTAACTTTGAAATATAGAATATCATTTTGCATAATGACAACTTCCTTTAATCCACAGCTCAGTGTTACATTAAAACCTTTCAAAGAGGAGAAGGCTTTGCAATATTTCTGAATATTGAATTTAGTGACGACAAATATGTTAGATGTTATAGACAAAATAATGTCTTTCATAATTAGTCTTCCCTCTGGCAACTACAATAATATCATCATGAGCATACTACATGTATTGTATTATTTTCAATGTCCCTCAGAGAATAATATAACATAAATCATAAAAAAGTTTCTGAAGAATAATAGTACAACAACATATCCAAGGAAAATTCGGCAAATAAACAATAGGGACAGACATTTTCCCCTAGTATACCTTAACCTTCATCCACATTGATATGGACAAGGTAAAAATGGAAACGAAATAGAAAAACACAGAGGCAGCATAGTAATTGTAATGATTGACACAGCTTACTTTGCGGTATTCTTGTGACAATTTCATTATTATAAAATATTAATACTAGGAGGGAATAACATGTGTTTATTTCTGTATGTGTTGTCGATGGCAACAAGAATCAACTCAGAACCACAGGGAATTATAATCAAACTACCAACTCATTACCTTTGCTTCTATTGTGGAATTTTTCAGTTCCGTTTTCTGGTTGTTATGCATAAGCGTATTCTGCCTATATGTTTAAACATTCTTGTATGCCACCAGTTGAAAAGCTATTGCTTAAGGTAGCAACCAGGGAAATATATCGTTTTCTGGCCTTTTTTGTGATATCTTTCACAAAGCTTCTTCTAACTAATACACATCGTCCTGATGTGTTAAAAAGCAAAAATCAGTCATGGTTTCTGTAAAAATCGACTTTTAAAAGCGAAAATAAACTAGCTGTGTCTAATTCCCAAGTGTTTGTAAACATCCACTTGAGACATTTGTGTAACTAGTCGTGAGTGACAACCTAACGTCAATAAAAGCCAATTTAGGTGATGGTAATGTTGACAAATAATCTTATACCAGCATGTCCGTTAATCTGTAGCATTTAGTACTTTGGTACAACAACAGTGCATTCATTCATTTACTAGTATGCAATTCGAAACTATATACGGGGCACCATAATTATGAAAAAACGAAAGATCTTTACCGATGAGCGAAGAAAAGAAACGTCTGTTAAAAGAAAGTGATAAGGGCTCCTATTTCAACCAACCGACTCAGCGACTCAGAGCAGGACAACGAGGAAGTTGACAACGCCAACATCACCAATGTCTCCGAAATGTGTACCACTTCGTCCCACATGTATGAGACTGGTATTACCGGACGCTGTCTTTTGGGAAATCAATGCGGTGAAATTGTGATTTTGGCGGTGTCTACAT